ACCTTTCATGATGGGGGGACATCTCAAAACTCTTTGCACAGCCGACTGGGAGCCCGAGCTAGGGAGAGGGGACTGAGAGTGAGCTGTGGGTTAAGGGAGTGACTGAAAGCACAGTCAAAAAGATAGGTATTAAGACCAGTCTCCTTTAAGCCACATTTATATTTTTAGAAGGCGCTTTATCTGTAAGAGCTAAGCTATTTGAAAAGTGAATAATGATCCCAGCAATGTACTGCATACTAATTACTTGCTTTATTAGATGTTTACTGCAGTTGAGCAAATAGCTATTCTGGTAAAAACTAACTAGTAATTTTCTTCACTTAGAAATATGTCACTTTTGTATCCTGAATTCTAATAGTCCAAGAGAACAATCAAGGTTTTGCTGCAGTAATTGCTCACCTCAGAGGCTGATTGATTCAGGATGTCCACTTATTCTTACATGTTCCTTTGTATTTGTAACTCAGCAGTTATAACTAGCTTCCTTGCAAAATACCCAAAAGCAGTGAGATACACTTTCAGAAATAGATCGATGGACATTGGAAGGTCTGATTTATACTTACCCATTCTGAATCGATCTTTCTCTATCTGAAGAATGCTGGGAGATGGTAAGATTTGAATGTTATTAGAAAGCTGGTCATGCAAATGACTCTCTAAAAGCATTGAAAAGCCTAAAGCTGGTCTACCTCGAGAACTTTTAAATGTAATTTTTTTAAAAGTTTACAATTTCAATGGAATCAACAGCAGTTAGCAGCTTGATTGATTCTGGACCCATTGGCACATATTTAATTGCTCAAACAACCTGCTGAGGTAATATCAGAAGCAGGAATTCAGAAACACCCTTAAAAACTCATATGTTCTTTTCTTTTAGTATCAATTTGGCGAAGATGAATTTGTTGGCTGACTTCACAACAGATCTGACCAATACTGTAATTCTATGATATTTTTAAAACTGCATTGTGGAACTAATCAATTTTTTGCAGACTTCCTCAATCAAACTTAAAATCTTCCAGTACAGTTTAAGTACATATGCAGGAATTATGCTTTTAAGGCACATACTCCACACTTTATAGCATTCTGCACCCAAAGAGCATTCATTCTCATTTCAAACCCTATTATGCTTTCTATAGCTTTTTAGCAAATCAATTTTTGCAATTCAGGAAAGTTGCAAGGATTAACTAACTTACTTTTAGTGCCTCTCATGTTACTTTGTACCATTTACTTCTCTACAGAAATATTCTAAAAATAATGGAGTCCCGTAGCATAGTGGTTGGCATGCTTGTCTCGCAAACGAGAGGATCTGGGTTTGATTCCTGGGTGACGTGAAACCTTAGCCAAGTTTCCTAACTCCACACACCTCTGTTTACCAAGCAGTAAATAGGAACCCGTTTGTTAGTTGATTGGCTGATTGCTCCAAAAATAAATTCAATTCATGACTATTCGTGGGACACTGTGTACGCAATTGGCTGCTGCACAAAATACAGTCAATTCTGTGAAGCATTTTGAGATGTCTCAATGACGTGATAACATGCTATATCAAATGCAAGGATTATTATTATTATTATTATTATTAATGTGATTGAATAATTAGCCAATTGTGAGTTTGCCTCAGTTCAGTTATTTTTACCATTGCCCACATTAGGGCCAGCAAGCAAAGGTTCAGTCACAATTTACAAACATGGAAAACGTGTGGGTTCACAAATTATGCAACTCAGACCAAGGACAGGTCACTGGAGAGCTTGAAGCTAGTTACTGTGTCTAAAATTTTGTAAATCAACCAAAATAAAAAACCCATAAATGACTTGTGACATTTCCTACAGCTGAAATAAGCTGCCCTAAGGTAAATGTCACATTGCATTGGGCTGTGAAGCTGAAAAACGTTTGAATATAGGTCCCTTACATGCTGCACCCCTATAAAAGACAAAAAACTTCAATTCCCTTGTCGGAAAAAAAGTATTGTATAATTTTAAAAAAGAACACATGAGATCTGTGGAACCTACTGGTGCAACAAATACTTTCTGAAAATCACACTCCTACAATTATTCTGTAAATCTGATTATTGTCCTTTGTAAACTCTTGCTCTCGGGTGTACCTTTCACACAGATGGCTTATGAGAGGTCACACAGAACAACACATTATTCCATGTAAATGCATTAAATAATAAATTAAAACATGGATAAATAATAGATGTCAGGCTCCTGCAACTTAATTGTGTGATTTGAGCTAAAGCACCGTCATGCCACATCATTTGAAGGCTACGTAATAAATAAAGTTAACAGCAGAAAGAACCCTCCTGGAGGCTCAATGGGCAAATGTATTGTAATCTCATCTATGATTCAGTCTATTTTACTATCTTGCATTTTACAGTGCAACTGATACATCCATAATTTGTATTCGTTATCAGTATTATGGAAATAATTTCTGCAAAATACAACTTACTATAATATATAATAATATTCTTTACATTTGATATAATACTTATCACATCATTGAGATGTCTCAAAGTACTTCAGACAATATACTGTAAACTGTTGTGACTGTGTATTTTGTGTGTGAATGCAGCAGCCAATTTGTGCACAGCAATGTCCTACAAATAGCCATGGAGCGTATGATAAATTATATTTGGGGATTGTTGGCCAGGAATCTGGGAAATACTCCTTTAGTGCTATGGAATCTTTAACAACCACCTGGACAGACAGTAGGACCTCAGTTTAACATCTCATTTGAGGGACGGTACTTTTGACAATGTAACTGACCCCCAGCACTGCACTGGAGTGTCAGTATAGACTATATGGATTGTGACTCAGAGGAGTGAGTGCTCCCAACTGAGCCAGGTTAATGCTATATTTCTCCTACCACATAGGTAAGGCAATTCTGTTTCATATACATTATGCAAAGGTATTTAATATATGTGAAAACAACCATAAATGCTTCAGTTGTCATTATAGTTTATAAATAACACTCTGAGTAAAGGTGAAAGGCTCTGAATCCAATAATTGTCAGATAGATTGCCTGGGATGGTTATGTTAGAACTCTGAAACTCTAGCACAGACTGAAGTAATAACAATTTCCATGGTATGTAAGAAATTAATAATCCTATTTGTTTTTCTTGAAGAATCTTTCTGTGCTGTGCTCTTCTTCTATCACTGACATTTTGATTTTTCTCAGCACCCAGTATTTTAACACACAGACATTAAGCAACAATTGAGATGGGTTACCAATAAGGCTGATAGAGGCCAGGCCACTAGAGTTGCTTAAGTTTAGAAATCACTTGCTGTTGTAATCAGAAGGATGAAATCAAATGGGCTGAAGGGTCTTATTCATCCAAATCAATAACACGTTGTGAGTATTTATTATTCTAAACTGAATGCATTTTTATTTTGTTTATAAAGTAAAAGGCAACCAATGGACTCTTGTTCTCTAGTTGACCAATCTACAGTCAATTCTCTTGAAACAATAAGCATGCTGTTTTGTTCCTGCATTTCCTCCATCCACTGTTGACATTGGTAGGAAACGTGGGACAGTCCATCTCATAGATACCATCAATTATCTGACTGTTTGATACAATTTCTCAGAAAACACACTTAAAAGATATAAGAAGTAAGTGTGAACAACAGTTAGTCTACTACAGAATACAATTTATATTTATATACTGCCTTTCCCATCAGGGCGCTATGTCAAAGTGCTTTGCTGCTGTGTGTGTGGTGGGGGGGGGGGGGGGGCAGGGGGCAGCTGAGCTGGGAGATGGTAGCTGAAGAGAGTGTGGAGGGGAAAGGTAATTTCAAAGAGGTAAGTCTCGAGGCAGGTTTTGAATGTGAGGAGGGAGGGAACAAGTGGGAGGCACTCCGAGATGGCGTTCCAGAGAGTGGGACTTCAAAGAGTGATACTCTGGATATTCCAATTCATTCTAGCATTGTTTCATCAACAAACCAGCTAGAATCATCCCATATATAACGGCTGTGTCTCAGTGTTATATGCAACAATTTCTGAGATTTTCTTTCTGGCAAGCGACCAGCTGGCTTGGAGAATTGGATGCGAAGGAATGGCAGACGGGAGCAGTCTGGTGAGTAAAGAGAAGTACTTAGGAGTGACGTTAATAAAGGAATTAGTAACAAATTTGTGGCATTCCTCAAGGTGTTCCAGATGAACTTCAACAAGACGGAGGCCCTTCTGCTTAGCTCCCTTCAGCGCCTCCTCAACTCAAGCGCTGACTGCATCACTGTTCATGGATGCACTCTCCACCTCATAGAGCCAGTAAAGAACCTTGATGTCCTGTTTGACCCTCAACTATCCTCTAAATCCCACATTTGTGCCATGACCCATTCTGCATTTCCCCCACCTTCACAACATTACCCGCCACTGCCTCTCCCCTCAGGCCGCTGAGGCCCTCATTTATACATTTGCCACATCCAGGCTTGACTATGCTGACTCCCTGCTTGCCGGACTTCCCAACTCTTCCCTCCACAAACTGCAGATTATTCAGAACTCTGCAGCTCGTTGTCTCTACTGTACCAAACTTTGTGAACTGATCACCCCATCCTCGCCCGGCTCACTGGCTTCCCACCTCTTAGTTTAAAATCCTCGCCCTCATCTTTAAAGTCCTCCATGGTCATGCTGCTCCCTACCTCTGTGATCTCTTAACACCATACCAACCTATCCGCTTCCTCAGTTTGGAGACCTGCTCCATGTCCCGCACCCTTCCTGCCTCACCCCCTCCCTTGTCTCCTTCAAGGTCCATCTCAAGACCTTCCGCTTTGACTGCGCTTTTAGCCACCACCCCTACCCTCCACCCCTCTTGATTCCAAACCCCAGCTCGGGTGCAAACCGTTGACTGTCCAGTGCCTTGGGATGTCTTTTCCGATGTGAAAGGCGCTATATAAATATAATTTGTTGTTCTAGTTGTTCCTTTTCTTAATAACAACCTAAAGAATCTTACAAATGTTGCCCCACACTGTGGTTCGAGGTATAATACAGAAGTGGTGAGGGTCTTTGTATAAGGCACTTACCATCTTTGCAAATGGGGCAGCACTGGTCTGGCTCATACACTGGATCCACACATTCAACTGGAGCACATTCTGCTACCGCACAGTGCACTTCACCATTGGACTCACAGCGACATTTCTCACAGGGAGAAACCTAAAAAACACAAAGAGCATTGAATTAGAGACAGGTTCATTTCACAGCAGCTACAGGATAGGATATATGAAACTCTAATAAGTTATATGATTTATGTGCTGTGTATAGGCTGAACTGATAAGCTGCAAGCAACAAAGTTTTATATTCATGGTTTATGTTACAAATGGATGGTAAAAGAAGTTAAATGAGGTGGATTTAATGATTTAATTGTGTTATGCAATATGCTTTATGACCTGGTTGCAGTGCAGGGATAGACAGTGGGAAGGCTTGCAGGATCTTCAACTTTCTATGGTGCGCTCACCTACAAACTGCAGTCACTACTCTTTATACTTTACAACAACAACAAAATTACCTTTATAGAACGCCTTTCACATCGGGAGGACATCCACTTTACACTGTGAAGCACTTTTAATGTCCTTCTGAGGTGAAAGGCACTTTATCAAATTAAGGGTATTATATGGGTTTAGAATATTGTGTTAATGCTTTGAGTGTTCTCTGAAAAAGTGAAAAGAAAAATGTGTAGTAATTAAAAAGTAGTGTGATAGCTTCTCCATGAAATCATGGGGTGATGAATTGTCATGTAACAGGTCATTCTGCCCAGCTGTTGTCTGGAGAAACTGAAAATATGGGCGCATAAATATATATTTCCCCATAAAAAGTGGATGTCAAAATACCTGTGTTAACAGTGGCTGAAAACAAATATAGAATCATAATAACAATCCGTGCATTTTATATAACGCCTTTCACACCTTCTAGACATCTCAAAGCACTTCACAGAATATACTGTAAAGTGAATAGGCTGTATATTTGTGGGTAAAACGCAGCAGCCAATTGTGCACAGAGATGTCTCACAAATAGTTGTGGATTGAGTGACCAAATTATTATTTTATTATTTCTTTTCTTGAGGGATTATTATCAGGCATTTGGAGTAAGGAAACTTGCCCAAGGTTTTGCCCTGCCGAGAATCAAACCCAAGTCTCTCGCTTGTGAGGCCAGTGCTCTAACCACTGAGTTCCAGGACTTCACAGGGGACATAGGAGATTATGTGAGTGAATACAAAGGAAAGAATGTACAGGACAAGAAAAATAGCATCTGGCCATCAATCCACATCTTTTCCGTATCACACAAAACCCTATTATGAACTTCTACCCACCCACTATCTCCAGGGGAAAAATGTTAATTATAGCTCATCCCGGACTTGATATCCTATCAGACATCAAGTCCTGGATGAGCTCTAACTTTCCCCAGTTCAATGTTGGCAAGACAGTAGCTCACCTGCTTGACTCCCATCAACAGCTTCTCGCCTCAGGTGCTGACAGCTTGAATCTACATGGATGCACACTTCACCTCATGGAGTCTGTGTAGAACCTTGGTATCTTACTTGTCTCCAAATCATCCTTTAAACCTCACATCCATGCCCTGACCCCCTCAGCTTTCCTCCACCTTCATTATATATGCCCGTCCCCACCACTACCTCTCGCCTCAGGCAGCCGAGACCCTCATCCATGGATTTATCATGCCCAGATTTGATTACACCAATGTTCTACTCATCTGACTACCCAGCTCTTTCCTACACAACTATGCAGAACTCTGCTGCCCAAGTCTTTTCCAGTATCAGGCTTCATTCCAGTATCAGGCTCTCCCAGCTTCATTGGCTCCCCATCCCCCATCAGACTGAGAATCTTTGTTCTTATCTTTAAATCCATCCATGGTCTTGCCACACTCTATCTCCGCGGCCTCATCAAACCCTACAAAACTGGCCATTGTCTTCGCTCAGTGGGACATTGGCCTGCTTCATGTCCTCCACTCTTTCTATCCCATCATTGTCGGGCAGGTTTACAGCCACTGTGTTCCCACTCTCTGGAACTCCATTCCAGAGTTCTTTTGACTTGCTCCCTCACTTCGCTTAAGGTCCATCTCATGACCTACCTAGTTGAACACTTACGATAACCTAGATTTATACTACAATCTTGCTTTCAGTCATCTTTCCCTTCCCCACCTGCCTCAGCTCCCACCCACAGCTAGGGTGTCAAGCCATTATTGTTAAATGCCTGGGGACATCTTCCTGACATGAAAGGTGCTATATAAATATAAGTTTGTATGTACTGTATTGAATCCTGGCCTAGCTCCCAACACAAATGTATTTTTCCCCTACGTTTCCAGAGAGTTAACTTTTTTCTTGAGCCTCTCCTCAAACATTGGAACTATAAGTTCCGGAATCATCCTTGTCACTTATCTCTAACCTGCTCCAGTTCTTAATATCATAATAATAATAATAATCCTTGATATAGTGCTTTTCACCTCTTCTAGATGTCTCAAAGCTCTTCACAGAATAGACTGTAAAGACTGTAAAGACTGTATATTTGTGGGCGGAATGCAGCAGCCGATTGCGCACAGCAGTGTCCCACAAACAGTCCCGGATTGAAATGACTAATTTATTATTGTTTTTTTTGAGGGATTATTATCAGGCGTGTGGAGTAAGGAAACTTGCCCAAGGTTTCACTCTGCCAGGAATCGAATCCAGGTCTCTCGCTTGTAGAGTAAGTGCTCTAACCACTGAGCTACAAAACTCCACTGTAATGTATTTTTGAACACAGGATGGTTGGCAATACACTTAATATTCCAAATTTGGAGTGATTACCATGTGTCAGCCTGGCTCACCTCTGGCAGCACTGTCACCTCTGAGTCAAAAAATTGTGGTTTGTGCCCCACCTTGAGACTTTGAACTCATATAGTCTAGGTTGTGACGTTCCAATGAAATGCTGGGGGTGCGTGATAGACTTTGATGTCCACCTGAACTGAGATCCCATCTGTGTGTTCAGGTGGACATCAAAAATTCCATACTACTCAGAAAGAGAATGGAGTTTGCCCTATTGTCCTGGCACAATTTAGCTGCCAAGTTCGCCAACAAAACACAGTCACTACACTTTGCAGTATATTCTGTGAAGCGCTTTCTTTGAAATGAACTCCTGACATGAAAGGTGATAGGTTAAATGCAAGGATTATTATTATTATCATTAATAATGAGTGTGTAATTCTCCCAATCGTCATATTAATCACCTGATTTATACTACAAGTAAATGTTATAATAAATATTTGTCTTCAGGACATTTTTTCCTCTAAGACATATTATGCACATTCGGGGTAGAGATCAGACCTAAGAAATTCTGGCTGGTAAATCGCTTCCCAGACAGTACCTTCTACATTTGTTATCACCTCTACTTCCTACTTCTGAGCTAGTCTTCAATCCAATCAGCTGTTTGTCCATTAATTTCTTGAACTTTTCCAGTCTTGACATGAGTTTCACATGAACAATTTCATTGAATCCTTTCCAAAATCTAAATTATACCCTCTATATAGCCCTCATCCACTTGTTCCTTCTCCAATGAGAATTGCAGTAGATTTCTAAGGGATGAATATTGCTTCTAAATTCATGTTGACTGTTCCTTATGGTTTCTGAACTCTTTAGAGGAGCAGTGATAGAATTCTGTGTAATCCTCAAGTGCTTTCCCTGCTACAAAAGTTAGATTAAGTGGTTTGTAATTTCCAGCTACAATTCTCACTCGTTTTCAAATAAAGGAATGACAGAAAAACCAATTTACCTAGCATTTATAGTGGGGAAGAATACTCGAGAGTTTCATACAGGAAATTATCAATGCTCATCTGAAGAGTGGGGAGGCTATAAGGTACAGTCAGGATGGATTTAGAAGCAATCTTCACCTTAGTACCATGAGAGAAGAGCTGTTCTGTGCATAAGGTCTGGAAACAGCAGGAAGAAATTCATAAAATAATAACATTTTTTACATTTCATATTGTATCTTTCACATCAGGATGTCTTATTGTTCTTCTATGAATTTATAATGATCATAATCCTTAATTTAATATAGTGCCTTTCAATCAGGAGGATGTCTTAAAACATATTGAAATCACTGTAAAATAGTAGGGACTATATTTTGTAGATATATGTTGATATATGTTTGTGCAGTTTAATGTTAATTATAGTTTACACTGACTTAACTAAATGTATTATTTTCATTTTGAATGATTTAATAGACTGCATCATCTATTTTTAGACTCTGCAGCTAATCATATTGAAAAGTATAATTGATGAAGCTTATGTGATGGAAAAACAGATTCTTTCATTTATTTGTAATTGCCACATTAAGCTACATCTCTTAGTCAGAAGTTTGTGGGCTCATACCCTACATTAGGACTTTGAACTCATAGTCTAGGCTGATACTCTAATTCAGTGTTGGGGGAGAACTACATGGTCAGAGACACTCTTCAGATAAAGACATATACCAAGTTATCGTCTGCCTGTTCAGGTGGAATTAAAGATCCCATGGCACTATTTGAAAAGAAAAGGGACTTTCTCCTGATGTTCTGGCCGAAAATTCCCCCAAGTAAAATTGGTCATTTACTTCAATCGCTATTTGCAGGACAATGCTGTGTGCAAATTAGATACTGTGTTTGCCTATAAATGCAGTCAATACACTTCACAGTAAAAATCCTGTGAATCAGTTTAAAATGGCTCAATGACATGATAAGGTGCAATATCAAATGCAAAGATTATTATCTGTTTTGTTAGCAGTTGACTGGGCTCAAATAACAGTAACATTTAGGCAATATAACTGACCTTTTAGATGACGTAAAAACAATTCTGCCCCTCAGTTGCTATCACCCCCATCCTTGCCCAGCTCCACTAGCTCCCCATCACTCACAGGATACAGTTCAAGATCCTGGTCCTCATCTTCAAAGCCCTCCATGGCATTACTCCTCTCAACCTCTGTGACTTCCTAACCCCCTATCAACCTGTTCTCTCCCTCCACTCAGCGGGCTCCAGCATGCTTCATGTCTCCCGCCTTGCCCGACCCAGTGTGTCATCTCTTCATCCTCAGTTTTTCTCATGTGATTCCTATGGGCATCATTGAACTCATAGAATCATAGAAATATACAGCACAGAAGGAGGCCATTCGGCCCATTGTGTCTGAGCCGGCTCT